TAACATAGACCTAATAATAATAAAAAATATAGTTCTGGAACTTGTTGCCTTAATAAAAAATCTTTTATGATCCAGGCTTTTAATCTTTTTTTTTCTCTTTCTGACACATATTTTTAACCAAAATTAGCTGAGATTAGGAAGTTGAAAGAGCAAAGATAATAAAAAGGGAAAGTTCATTAGCAGGCAATAATTACTGGATGTCAAAAGAAGGATGTGTTTTGTACCAATATATAGACCATATGTGCATGAAGAGAATTGATCCATCCAAAGATTTAATCTCAATCAACATGATTAAGAGCAAAGGTTGAGACATTACTAGTCGCCCACCATCAATAGTTTTGATGGCTGAGGAGGAATCAAAGTTTCAATTCACACAACAAATGAAGGGTCGAGAAGAATAAATAAGAGAAGATAAAGATCCAACAATAAAGTATAGATCAAGATCACAAATTCCCAAGTAAATCCAGTGGGTTGGACAACCATGGATGCAGCCAAGTCAAATTCAACTAAAAAGTAGCCTTTCGTGCCAAGCAACAACCAGACACTGGGCCCTCTCACCAGTTCACAGAACTATGCACAGGCAATTACCAAATCATTCTTCCAATAGATCACAAGAAACTTACTAGATTGGCAACAGACAGGAGTCCTCTACACTTGGTACTATGTGACTGCAAGAAACCTTTAGCTCATGTCCTTGATTGAATCACCCATCTATCTCACCGACCCAACTTTACAGCAACCCAGCGATGAGGACAGAGATGGAGTGCACAACCACACTAAACTTCACCAAGAGGAGCCGGCACCTGCACCTGCACACATCATAAAAAGACTCACCACAAGGGATAAGGAAACAGCATTGCATTTAACTATATCTTGCCCGCATAGTGCTGCTGCCCTCTGCAGCAGCAATGGCCACACCAACCGAGGTGGTGGCCATGCAACAAAAAAGAGGAACATGGTATCAAAACAAGCCTTCGCTTCTTCTTTTCTGTTCACCCAAGAAAGAAGCCTATACAAGACCAAGTCAAAACCTAGAGAAGTAGAGGGATCAGATACCCTCAGGAGCTGAAGTGTCGGAGTCCTCATTTGCTTGGGAGTAGTGGGTGTGCTTCCTCGAAGAGCCCTTGCATAAATGGACGGGGTACTTGAGAGCATTGAGCTCCAGCTTCCTGAGGGCAGCCCGTCCCAGGTCCACCCCGCAGATGTCCGATAGCCTCACGAGGTAGAGCAGGACATCAGAGAGCTCCTCCCCAAGATGTTCCTTCTCATCCTCCTTCCAGTCAAGCAACCCTTTGGGCACCTCACCTTTCCACTGGAAGATCTCGGACAGCTCCCCGACCTCTCCCACCTAAAGAAGTAAACACAACAGCAGGCACGGATCTGGGGTTAAAGCACAAAAAAGAATCGCTAGGGACGAAGAAAGAGTCGGTTTTAGAAGGTCGTCGTCTCGTTCCTCCCAGCACAGGCATGCACAAGGGAAGGAAGCATAGGGCAAAAAAGGACATGAAAGAGAATATCGTGAAGGGGGGGGTGGGGGTGGAGGAAGGAGTACCAGGGCTAGCAGGAGGTTTCTGGGGCTGTGGAATTGGTCCCAGTCCCTCTCCCTTGCGAAGTCTGCCATCTTCTTCCGCAAGCTTTCTAGGGTCACCCCTTCCTCTCCTGCCATGCCTGAGACAGCCCCTCGGGTCGGTGCCGTTTCGTATGTATGTATTATTCCCCGGACCCTTTTTGTAGGTGTCCTTGCAGTTTTAGTGGGCCACGATACCCAGGAGACAATGAAGGGGACAAAATGGAGTCCGGTGCTGCGGTTCTCCCTTCCCCAAAACGAATATAAAGATAAAAAGTTTCTGCTCCCTTCCGCAGGAGAGAAGACATAAAAAAGAAGCAGAGGCGTCGTTGATGAAGCACGGCACTTCCTTTCTCTCTCCATATATATATATATATATATATATATATATATATGCTTTAACAGCGGATTGAAAGTGTAGGACAGTGGTAGGAACGGAAACGCGGTCCAGCTCGCCAAGTAGGGTCCAAAATATCAAGTGAACATATTTTTGCCCTTTAAACAACCCATGAGACAGTAGTTTTTTGTTTTAACCTTAGTATCTATATCTGACATGCTGTGCCATTAAATGTAACACCAACGTTAAATGTATATATATATATATATATATATATATATATGGCTCACTCGTCCTCCTGGCTGCGCAACCTCGCCAACTTGTTGGTAACAACAATGTCAACAAGCCGTGCAGCGAGCTCAACGATTGACTTACGCTTCCTCGTAGAGACATTATGTGCTATTTCAGCACAGTAAGTCGTGCCAGATTAAGGAAATGCAAGAATCTGCATTTGAGATGTCGTATGGGTATCTTTGACCGAGAAGTGAGAAGGTTATGCATCATGAGTAACTCCAACTCAGCAACATCGTGTACAACGAACTTCTTAAATTGGTTTGGCAGATAGTGACGTGTCTTCTTGTCAGAACCGTACCCAATATTTGGCATCAAAGCACATCCTTTAAACTTCCTTCTCACACGAGAATCGAATAGACTTACAATTTGCTATCACCAGAACATTCAAGTCATTGAAAATCTAATTCAGTCCAAACTTACAATTGCAATTAGCAAGAGCAGCATCATGTGATATGACCAGAAAATGAAATCTTTCTAAAGAAACACTTCCACATAAATAAATTAGCCAAAATATCCAAAAATAGGTTATGCTAGTTGATAGGGTGCATTTTGGCCCTATGTGAACCACCGACAGACGCTGCAGACCAACGCGACACCGTATGCCTCCAAAAGCACGGGGTGCACGCTACATCAAGCTCCAATGGTATGATTGTGCCGCCTGACCACCCTAAGAGCTGGGGGCGATGCCGTTTGCTGTTATGGCAGTACCGTCTGATGCCGCTCAAACACCCCCGAAGATGCCATCTCGTCAGAGCTATTGTTCCGCCCCCAAAGTTAACAGTCATGCCGGACCAGGGCCCGACCAATTTCCGCACGCAGGTATAAATACCCCCGACCTGATCCAAGAAAAGGGGAGACGAAAAAAGAGAATAAAAATCAATCTAACTTGCTCATAGAAGGGGCCAAAGTCGAGACACACCCGACGAAGGCCTTTTTACAGGGAGGTGGTCGTCATCAAGCTACATGTGCCTTCACCTCGAAGTTGTCTCCCAATACGCAGAGGAGGGCGACCCAGTGGCTCGGATCCGACCGGTGCTAGTCTCGTCTCCCGTTCCAAAGAGGAGCCCGCGTGGTGAGGAAGGTCGCCATCTATCCTGGGGACGAGCGGACACCTCTTCTCGCAAACGGAGGTCGGGGTCGACGGACCTTAGAAAGACAACCCTCGCATTCCCCTCAGAAGTTCCCGACGTCGGCACGTGGGCCTAACCGTGCTGACTCATCAATCATGGTACCTTTGTTTCTCAATAGATTGGCGCTAGAAGGAGGGCCCATGTCGCAGAAACAACTGGCGGGAACGCGCCCCGGGAGGGAGCTCCCGACCGACCTCCCTTCCGCCGAGCCAAAGGACAAGCCCTCTCCGTCCCTGCGGACGGTAGGATTCCGGCTTCAATGCTTGATCGTTACTGGTGCCTGTTCAACGACCCGGGACTATCGCCCCCGGGGCTCACCCCGGGGGGCCCGACCGTGACGCCCGAGGAGTTCCTTAGCCTAACCAAGCAAGTACAGACCATGGCAGGCATGATGCATACACTCGCCCTGATCATCCCCCAAATTGGGCGGCCCCTGACGCCCCGGACCGATCCGGCCCGGCAACCCCCGAACGGGGAACAGCTCGGGGTTGGGGGAGCCTCTGGGCGGGCAATGGACCCGAGGGGTCCTCCCGCGCAGGACACGCTCGCACCATGCTGAGCCACCCCATCTCATCTGGAGCCTGACACAATATCATCTGACTTGGCGGACGACTCACTCAGAGCCCAGTTGTCCTGGGTCAATCAGCGCCTGGACGCGTTCCAGCGCGAGCTTCGAAGATCGCATAATGAGCCCAGCGAGGGCACTTCGGGTGGGTCCCCCTTTACCCAGGAAGTACAAGACAAGCCGGTACCCCTCAACTTCAGGTTCCCAACATTGGAAACATACGATGGAGGCTCCGATCCCATGGAGCATGTCTCTGTATTCCGGGCCCAGATGGCCCTTTACGATGCCTCTGATGCGTTGATGTGCCGAGCATTTCCGACCACTTTGCGTGACTCGGAGCGGACCTGGCTCAGTCGACTGCGCTAAGCTTCAGTCTCATCCTTCGACCAGCTGGCTCAGGAATTTGAGCAAAGTTTCCTCTCCAACGCGCGGCCCAGGCCCTCCATAGCCACTTTGCTCGCACTATCTCAGTGCAAGGACGAGTCGCTCTCTTAGTTCGTGGCATGGTTCGCCACCGAGATCCGAGGTTTTCCGGATGCTCACCCTTCTCTAATCTTGCAGGCCTTTCTGATAGGTCTCAAACCTTCAAGGTTCTTTTGGTCGCTGATCGAGAAGCCGCCAGCGACCATTTCTGAGATGCTTCTATGCGCCAACCAGCACGTTGCCGCCAAGGCTTTGGTGGCAGGGAGGCGCACGGAAGGCAAGAAGTCGCGGATGGAGTTGTCTCGAGGAATGGCCTCGGCGGTCCTGATGCCTCCCCGGCGGGGGCCCAACCGACAAGAGCTATTGCTCCCAAGACCACCACCTCTCCTCCTAAACGCATCTCGCATCGAGATCTTCATCCAGATTAAAGAGACGGGCCTCTTGCAGTAGCCTCGCCCTATGAAGGCTGCCCACAGAGACCAATCTAAATACTGTAGGTTCCACCGGGACCATGACCACGACATGGAGGACTGCCATGACCTTTGGAACCAGATAGAAGAACTAATCCGGAGAGGCCACCTTGCATGCTATCTCAAGTCCCGGGAGGTGACTCCGCGCCCTAGAGGGCCCCCCGAGAGATAGATCGATGTCATCTCTGGCGGGCTGGTAGCCGGCGACACTAGCATGACAGCAAGAAAGGCCCACACACGTAGTACGGTGGAGAAGCGTCCATGGCCTGAGCACGAGCCTACAATTACCTTTGGAGCTGGAGAGGTTGAGCGCTCCCACCATGACGACGCTCTAGTGATCTCCGTCCAAATCGCCAATGCCCAAGTCAAGAGGGTGATGGTTGATACGGGGAGTTCCGCCGACGTCCTCTACTTCGATGCCTTTGGGAGGCTCGGTTTGACCCAGGAAAATCTTACCCCTGTGACATCAGCTCTTACAGGGTTCACCGTAGATTCCATCTCCCTGCTCAAAACCACAATGCTCCCCATTACCCTCGGGGAGGAACCGAGGATGAAAACAATAATGACCACCTTCATGGTGGTCGACCTACCATCGGCCTACAATGTCATCCTCGGCCGCCCGACCCTCAACAGGATCCAGGCGGTGGTCTCTACTTATCACAGAACCATCAAGTTCCCAACCTTGGTAAGGATTGGGGAGGCTTAGAGTGACCCAAGGGAGTCGAGGTGATGCTACCTCATCGCAGTGGCTCACCCGCCAAAGCCTCGCCCAACCCCGGTTCTCGACCCCCGTGAGGCACCTGTACCACAAATGATGTTGGAGCCCCTGGAGTAGCTTATCGAGGTGCCCTTGAAGCAGGGCAGACCTGACCAGACCGTTAGAGTCGAGATTGCGCTCCCCGAAGTGAACCAACTCCACCTTGTCGATTTCCTAAGGGAGAACACTGACCTATTTGCGTGGTCCCCTGAGGAGATGCCTGGGATCGACTCGGAGGTGGTGCAAGACTGACTCAACGTCGACCCCAGGGCGCAGTCGGTAAGGCAAAAGCTTTGAAGGTTCACCCCCGACCGGCAGAGGGTGATTCGAGACGAGGTCGATCGCCTCATAAAGGCCAGGTTCATCGTCGAGGTTAAGTACCCTCGGTGGTTATCTAATGTAGTCCTCGTCAGAAAGCCTAATGGAAGTTGGAGAATGTGTATTGATTATACCGATCTCAATCGAGCATGCCCCAAGGACTGCTATCCACTCCCCAGGATAGACCAGTTGGTTGACGCCACCGCCGGTCATGAATGCCTTATGTTCTTGGATGTGTTCTCCGGCTACAACCAAATCTGGATGGTGACCCAAGACCAGAAAGATACTGCCTTCGTCACCAACCAAGGGGCGTACTGTTACAAAGCAATGCCTTTTGGCCTGAAGAACGTCGGCGTGACCTACCAAAGGATGGTCGACAAGCTTTTCGAATACCAGCTCAAGAGAAACATGGAGATGTACATAGATGACATGATTGTAAAAAGTAAGGTCGCAGGGACACATTTGGCTCACCTAGCGGAAACATTCCAAACCCTCAGACAGTTCAACTTGCGTCTGAACCCAACAAAGTGCGTCTTCGGGGTCAGCTCGGGGAAGTTCCTTGGCTTCATCATTTATCGACGGAGAATTGACGCCAACCCAGAGAAAGTTCATGCCATTACTAAGATGCACTCCCCCCGCTCAGCCAAAGAAGTACAGCGATTTGCTGGGAGGCTGGCAGCGCTCAGCAGGTTCGTATCGCGTTCGAGCGATAAGAGCCTCCCTTTTTTTTTAGTTCTTCGACGGGCCGACAACTTCACTTGGACCCTGGAATGCGAGGAGGCCTTCGAGAAGTTGAAGGAATGCCTCGTCCGCTTGCCCCGGCTCACCTCGCCTAAACCAAGCGAGACCCTCGGCCTCTACCTGGTGGCCTCGCCACAAGCCGTCAATTCAGTGCTAGTTCGGGAGGTACCACCGACGCAACAGCCGGTGCATTACGTTAGCCACATCCTTGGAGGGCCCGAAATACACTACCCCCCGATCAAAAGGCTGGCTCTTGCCCTGGTCCTGACAGCTCGGAAGTTGCGGCCCTACTTCCAAGCTCATACAATTAGAATAGTCACCGACCAACCGCTACGACAAACCCTATCCAACTTCAACACATCGGGTCGCATGCTACGGTTGTCAATCAAGCTCAACGAATTTGACATCCAGTACTCCCCCAGGACCGCCGTTGAAGCTTAGGTGCTAGCCGATTTCATTTCCGAGCTGACGCCCGAGGACTAGGCTATAGGGCGGCAAAGTGGCCGGGGCACGTGGACGTTGCACGTAGATGGCTCTTCCACTTCTGAGGGAGCCTGGGTCAGTTTCGTCCTCAGAGGTCAGTCGGGAGAGGCCTATGAAAGATCTCTCCAATTAAAGTTCTGGGCCACCAACAACGAAGCTGAGTACGAGGCACTACTCCATAGTCTGCGTCTCGCTCTGGAGTTACATGTGGGCGACCTTGAAGTCTTTAGTGACTCCCAACTAGTAATAGGGCACATCAATGGGAGCTGCGAAGCTCGAGACCCCACGATGATATATTACCTAATGGAGGTAAAACGACTCGCCGTTGTTTCGACCACTTTTCAGTCACCAGAATACCTCGGGCGCAGAACGAGCGGGCCGATGCGCTGGCCAAATCAGCCTCCACCCGCACCCTTGAGTCGTCCTGGCCATTGAGTCCGTGGCGGTCCCGACCATACCGACTCACGAGGTCGCCGAAACAAATCTACCTCCAAATTGGATAGAAGAGATCCTCTGCTACAAGGCGGGTGGTAAAGAACCCGACGATCCCGTGGCTGCAAGATGGCTGAGGTGAGCTCAAGCGTGGTACTGCATCATCGGCGGAAGATTGTACCAAAGGGCATTCTCTCAACCCCTCCTGCGCTGCCTCGCGCCGTTGGAGGTTGAAGCCTGTTAGAGCTAGCCCTAGGAAATTTACCAAAGGGTAATTTTGGTAACCCAACAAAGACAATAAAACAGAAATAATAAAAATGATAAGAACACCAGATTTACGTGGTTCGGTCAATTGACCTACATCTACGGACGAAAGAGGAGCAAATCACTACTTTAAAAGAGGGACTATTACAAATGCCTTAGGAAGATGTTTCTAGGCCATAAAACACCCGAATATATTAAACAAGAAAAACTCAAACTATAAGCCTAAACTATTTAACTGAGTGTGGACTTAAACCCAAAGTAAATACTTAGGTTTTTCTTGTGGTGCATCTGACTTCAAAACCCAGACCCTTATTTATAGTTCCAATAGGAGATAACAAGCCTGATTTTCCCGATGTGGGACTATGTGGGACTTGCTAAACTAACAAATCTCCACCTTGGCATGTCCTAACAAAACTTGCTCCACCTTCTTCATAAAAGCCCCAACAGGTAATCACCAACAATGAACACCAACCAAGTCTAAGAACTGCTTGAATTTGTAAACCGGAAGAGGCTTCGTAAGCATATCAGCTGGATTGTCCTTCGTATGAATTTTCTGAACAAGGACCTTTCCCTGAGCAATAGTATACCATTTGCATCTAACAATTTTCTTACCCGAAGGTGACTTCACAAGATCCCAAGTTCTATTCTGATGGAGAGATTCTATTTCTTCATTCATCATAATCAACCACTTAGTGGAATTATCATAAGAAACTGCATCTGAGTAGGTAGTAGGCTCACCAACTTCACTTGTTTCTTCTGTAATAGACAAAACATATGCAACTAAATTTGCATATCTTTGTGGTGGTCGAATATCTCTCTGTGGTATATTCTTGGCTATGGAATATTGCTCTTCCTCTAGATCATCTTTGTTAGTAGATTCGGGACCATCTACTGGCATCTTTTGAGTAGAAGAGTTAGACGGAAAAGAATTAGAACTACCAATCTCAAGCTCCACCTGCTTCTGCACACTATCATTTGTACAACTAGTAGATTCCTCTTTGGAAGATAACATAGACAATTAATCAAAAGTAACATCTCTACTGATTATAAATTTTGGGGATTTGGGATCAGAACACCATAATATGTATCCTTTCACCCCAGAAGCATACCCAAGGAAAATGCACTTTTTCGCTCGAGGCTCTAATTTTCCTTCATTTATATGCATGTATGCTGGACACCCAAAAAATTTTAAATTAGAGTAATCAGCAAGAGTACGTGACTAAACTTCCTTCGGAGTTTTAAAGTTAAGTGCTGCAGAAGGAGTGCGATTGACAACGTAACAAGCCATATTAATCTCTTTTGCCCGAAAGTCCTTTGTCAACCCTGTTAGGATCGGAGCGGCACTAAGAGGGGGGGTGAATTAGTGCAGCGGATTAAAACTTCGGTTTTGATAAATCTTTCGTACGATGAAAAGCAATATCAATGGAAACCGATTTTAGAAGCTTGATAACTTAGAAACGTATAGAAGCGTAGTAACTAAGTAGAGAAGTTTGCAGTATGTAAATGGCAAGAGTAGGATGCAAACCAGATAACACAGTAGTTTTTAAAGTGGTTCGGTCAAAATGACCTACATCCACTTGCGAAGCCTTCTTCGAAGAGGCTTCCAACTTTCACTAGCAAATTTCTTATAGGGGAAGGACTAATACCCCTCTTACAACCTTTACAAGTGGTTCACACTCTTATAATTCTTTTCAACAAGATGGGAGGAGGTGAACACTTAAGCAATATGAAAAACAAGGCTTGCAAAGACTATTCTAAGGCTCTTAACTCAAACTATTGCTTTTCAAAAGGTTGTCATCTCAGCTGAGATTTGAGGGGTATTTATAGGCCTCAAGAGGATTCAAATTTGGGCTCCAAAATTTGAATTCTCTTTGGTTCCCGATGCTGGCGATGCCACCGCCCAGCCCAAGCGGTGCCACTGCTTGGCTCTCGGGCGCTAGGCGGTGCCACCGCCTACACTATTTCAGCTCACTGGTTGGGCTCCAAAATTGGCCCAAACCAGTCCGAACTAGAGCCCAATTGGCCCATACTTGGTTTATAGGATTAACACCTAATCCTAACCCTAAGTAACATGCTAACTGTGAATTTAAAGACATTTTCTAAGCTATTACAAAGTCTGTAAGTCAAGACTTCTTCCGGCGAACTTCCGACGGTTTTCCGATAAACTCTCGGTGCGGACTCCCGGCAAGCTCCTAGACTTCATGATTTGATCTTGACGAGTTCCAACGAGTTTCTTCGGCAAGCTCCGATCTTTCTTGGTGAGCTCCGCGAACTTCCAACGAACCTTCCGGCAAGCTTCCGAAAAACCCTTCGGCAAGCTCCCTACTCATTCTCGGCTAGTTCCGGCAGCATTCCCGACGAACCTTCAGACTACCGTCGAACTCTCGAACTCGCAATGAATCATTCGTGCTTGACTCCGACACTTTGTTTTGCTTTATGTCTTCATCGTTATCATAGTTAATCCTGCACACACAAGCTAAAACTGTACTCCGATCTAGACAATTATTACAATGCGAATTGACATTCTGTTGCCCGGCACGTCATTGGTTGGCGCTTCGTCCGATTCTTCGGTGCATCGTCCTCTCTTGCGGCTTGTTGCCCAATCGGCGGTTGACCTCCGCAACCCCGATATCCTTGGCGTAATTTCGCTCTCCTTGGCCCGATGCCCGACGTCCGAAGCCTTCTATCGTCCAATATCTTGATGTGATCTC